TGCTCATTCTGTAGTACAACTTTCAGTTACTTTGCCTTGATTGTGGCAATAACTGCAGTTCACTTTGTGCAGTAACAAATGGAAAGTTACATTTGCTGCATGTCCTTTAGAGATCATCCTTCTTGACTGCAGTAGCAAAGTCTACTGCTGGGAGATAAACTACCTTTATGTCAAGCCCAAAATATTCAAAGAAAATTTTCTACCTTTGATTTACTGCCAAGAGCAGCCGCTCCTGAACCCAAAAAAACAGTTTTTGTGGCTTTGGCATTCATTTCTTGCTAGACAGTTTCTTCCAGGTCACTGCTATGAGGGAGTGTTTAACTGGTAAGGGTAACAGGGCCATGGCAGGTGCAGCCAAGACCTGAAAGAACTGCACAGCATTCTGGTTTCTCCCACAGTGCAATATTGACACAGCAGCGTACTAAAGGGAGACAGGAACAAGTTACATGAACCTGTGGTGGCTTGGCAAAGCTGTACCTGAGGATGCTCCAAGGAGACCTTTCCTGAGAGAGCTCTCGGAAGCAACTCCCTGTGTCAGATTGGCTCCTTCTGGGCTGTGGTCTTCACTTGACCGAACAGCCAAGACTCAGAATCCAGGTTGCAAGAATTTCTGATGTGAGGACTGTCCGACAATGAACGAGCAGGACTTTTCATGAGAGAGGTGATTTTATCTCCTGATAAACGGTTTCTGCTTGTCAGGCAAAAGGCTCCTTTGATTTGAACTTATCCGAGCCGCTCTGCAAAAATTGGCATGTGGTTTCCAGGTACAGCACTGCGGATGTGCTTCCTGTAGTAACAACATCTGTATCCACGCAGTGAATTGCAGTATGGCATCCTCATGCTGTGGACCCTTTTTTGCTGAGGAAAAAAACCCTCCAGGAGGTGCCAGACAAGGGGGATCTGGGTTTGATGTATGTGGGTCCTGCACTGTGATTACCCTCCCTTTGCCTGGAGTGATGCTGCTGCTTTGATGTTCTTCAGTGCCATTCTTATGAGGAGAGGAAAGGCTGAACCTCTTTGGAAGGAACAAGAGAGCATAGTTACATCCAATTGTGGCCTGAGCCATTCTTACTGGGGCTAGTTATGCTGTGGGTGTTCTGAAGGATCAGGTTTGACAGTGAACCAGAATGGACATTCCTAGCATTCTTCCAATTTTGCCACCCAGCCTGTTTCAGAAAAAGTCCTGATGTAGGTGTTTGTATCCTGTCTATTTCTTCTCTCACAGTATTTGTCTTTCAAGCCTGGCAGCAGTGGAAGGAAACTTAGCACGTGATGCTGACATTCTGCCATGTCTGTGGGATGGCAGATTCTTAAAGTGCTCAAATCTAGCTAAGAGAATAGCTAGGGAAACAGGAGGCAGTGGACCTACCCAAGAATGCAGAGGTTCAAATCCCAGTGGATTCAAGGAAGGGCATGGGATTTTGTTCAGAAGCTGGGCTGCTCACATCAGGAAGGCTCTCTGCGTCCCTCCCTCAGGACTTCCCACCTGTGCTACATCACTTTGTGGTAGTGTGATATTGATAGTGGGATCGAGTGCACCCTCAGCAACTTTTCAGATGACACCAAGCTGTGTGTGCAGTCAACACACCTGAGGGACAGGATGCCATACAGAAAGACCTATATAGGCTCAAGAGGTGGAGCCAGGTGAACCTCATGAGGTTCAACAAGGTCAAGTGCAAGGTATGCACCTGGTTAATGGCAACCTCCATTAATACAAGCTGTCAGAAGAAAAGGATAGAGCACAGCCTTGCTGAGGACTTGAGGGTACTGGTGGATGGCAAGCTGGACATGAGCCAGAAATGTGCCCTTGTAGCCTAGAAGGCCAATCGGATCCTGAGCTGCATCCAAAGCAGCATGGCCAGCAGGTCAGGGAGGTGATCCTGTCAGCTGGACTACTACATCCAGATGGGGAGTCCTCAGTACAGGAGGGACAGGAGCCTGTTGGGGTGCATCCAGAACAGGGCCACAGGAATGCTCCAAGGGATGGAACACTTCCTCTACAAGGACAGGCTGAGAGAGCTGGGGCTGGGCAGACTGGAGAAGAGAGGGGTCCAGGGAGACCTGAGAGCAACTTTTCAGTATATAAAGGGGGACTAGAAGAAAGAAAGGGATGGACTCTTTAGCAGGGTCTGTGTCATAAGACAAAGGGAAATGGTTTCAAACTAAAGAGGGAAGATTTAGACTGGATAGAAGGAACAATTTCTTTTTACAAGGGTGGTGAAGCATTGGCACAGGGTACCCAGAGAGGTGGCATAAGTCCTGTCCTTGGAGACACTGAGGGTCAGGCTGGACCGGGCTCTGAGCACTTGATTAAGCTGTAGATGTCCCTGTTCATTGCACAGGAGTTGGACTAGATGACCTTTGGAGGTCCCTTCCAACTCTAACAACTCTATGATATATATACCTGTGTCTGCACACTTCACCCACAATGAATTTCTATTCAGCCCGATTTTCACTTGCCGAGAACCAGATTCTGTTGCTTCAGAAGGACTTTTGAGCAACAAACAACCCATTTCCATCATAGTTGTCAGGACAGGAGGCATTTTTTACTATTTGCCACCCTGTGATTTGCATGAGAGCACTCCACCTTGCTTGAGCTGCACAGTACTAACTTTAAACAGATTAATATTAATAATAACACAATAAAATGTGCCTACACATGCCCTGCAGAAGTCAGCAGCAGTTTACTGAGTTATAAGTGAAGTTTGTACCTCTGTGTATGCTTGGGGCTGCACAACATTGCCTAGCACTTCAACAATATGGGACTTGGAAAAATCTAAACTGTGAACATCCACTACTGTGCTGAAAATGTATATTATGCTGAAATTTGATTTAAAAAATATATGTTACTTAGATCCAGGAAATACTGGATTATAGGTTCTCAAAACAAGAAGTAGAAAAAGAAGTCTCTCCTCCTTTTGCTACCCCAGCTACAATATATCTGTACAGAAGTAAAGGATCAGGTACTCACTCCTGCCCGTTGCTGAGTCCTTTGTCCTATTCCTTTTTTCTCCTTGGAGGAAAGCAGCTTTGAAGATACTCCTTCTCCTTACACGTACAGTCACAGCAGTTCAGGAGAGGGGCAGGGGAACAGGGCTGCAGGGGAACTGCTGTGCTGAATGCCTGTAGTGTAGCCAGCATTAACTGGCTAGAGAATCCTATTACATGATAGGTAGCAAGCCAGGGCCTAATTTATGGAAATTTTGACCTTTGGTCCCCTTTGACATTTTCGGATCAGCCATAGCCTGTGTGAGATATTAAAGCTCTTACAGTAAGGGGCCCTAAATCAGCCTGTGTGGCTGCTGGAGCCAACGAGTGGGTCAGAGGTAAGAATTCACTGAGGTTCGTGTGTGGGCTGCTCGGAGCCTGTTTGACATTTATAAATCAGTGACATTCCTCTGCACAGCTCAGTACATACAAATCACTTCAGTCTCTGTGGGGAGGGCCCCTCATCTCGGTCAAGGGTGGATTTGGGCATCCATGGCTTTTCCTTTTGAGTTGAGCAGAACATGCCTTAACAAACCTAGCTTTATCAGCTTGCAAGGTCACCTACCAACCTAAGCGTTAGAGATGGAATGAGGGCTCTTTTAGCATCAAAACTATCTCTGAGGACTCTGTGCCATCTTCAGGGCTTGGTCACAAAAGTCATCATCACTAGATGCCATACCAGACACCCCACACTGTGGTCAGCTGACATAACAAGTGTTGTGCTCATGGACTCTGTTATTAGTGCAGCACAAACAGCTGTGGTCCTGTTCTGCTCGGTGCTGGGCTTGTTAGACGTCAGCAGCTTCCCAGGGGAACCTACAAGCTGCAAATAATGCTCCACCAGGCTGAGAACTATGAGTGGGCCTGCCTGAAATTTCTCACAGTCTGGACTCTACGTAGAGAGAAAACATGATGAGAAAAACGTAACCAGGACTGTGGACAAGGTACCGTTAACATCAGCCAGTTATTGTGCAACAGACATCCATCTTGGCTTCTGTGCACCCGAGCTGTTTAACCACTGCTACTTCTCCAAACTCTGAGGGTTTACATGGCCACCCCATCCACCTCAATGCTGGCACCCTGCTCCTCTCAGGTAACAGTGTGCTGGGCTTTGAGACACCCTTCTGTCATACTTACAGTAGCCCAAGCACATAGCAGCTGGGATGGTGAGGCTACTGCCTCTGTGGTTGTGAACCTGCAGCTGTGGAGATGGTCAAAGAAAGAGATGCTCTCATTCTGGGCTGTGCAACACCCAAAGGGCTGCCATGAGGGCATGGCCACCAGAGAAGGGGCTACGGCAGCTGCGTTTACCCTGACACAGCCACTCGGTGCTTGGCCAAAGCCGCCCCGAAATGAAGACGAACGGTGGCTGTTGGGAAGAGCTCCTCCCTCGTGCCCACGGACCTTCACGCTGAGGGAAAAAACTGCCGGGGTGGGTGATGGAAAGGGCTGAAATTAGTGAGGGAAAAACCTGACGGGAGGGAGGTAACCATCTGACAGAAGTGAAGGAAAACCCAGGCGTGAGGGATAACTCAGGGCGAGGGAGACCGGCGCGGTCGAATCACAGCTCCGCGACGGCGGGCGGGCGCCCGGGAACCCTCGTGTCTCCCCGGGGGGCGAAGCCCGGTGGGCGAGGGCGGCAGGGCGCTGGCTGAGGCGCCCTCGGCTTCGGAAGAGCCTGAAAACGTACAGCCGGGCAGAGCCGGGGGCCGGGGAAAGGGGAGGGCGCTCCCCGGCTCCCTCCCACCGACTCCGGATAAATGTGCCGCCGGGAGGCGGCGGGCGGACGGCAGCAGCGCGTGGAGCAGCGCGTGGAGCAGCGCGGGGCTCGCGCTCCCGCTCCCCGCCCAGCGCTCTCTGCCGGCCGGGCCGCCGGCTTTTCTCCGCTTCCCGTCCGTTCCGACGGGCGCGGGGCCGGGTGAGGGGCGGCAGCCCAGCGCGGCCGATGCCGGCTCTCTCCGCCTCGCTCGGCTCGGCGCGGGCTGCGGCCGGCCGGTGGCGGCCATCGGGAATCGGAGCCCCCCCGGGCGCCCTTCCCCTCCCGTCCCTCCGCGGCCGGAGGGTTTTCTCCCGCTGCGGCCGCCTCGCTGCCCCCCAGACATGGTAGGGCACCTCCAGCTGCAAGGGATGGACGAGAGCCTGAAGGAGAAGAGCCGGGAAGGCTTGCTGGACAGCCCGGACTCGGGGCTGCCCCCCAGCCCCAGCCCCCCTTTCTACTCCCTCTCGCCCGGGGGCGGCGCGGACCCCCCGGCCCCGGGGCAGCGGCGAGAGGCCAAGGACGGCAGAGGGGTAAGAGCAGAAGCGATGGTGGGAGAGGGGGGAGAGGGATTTAAAGGACGGTGGAACTTCACCCCAGGGGCCTTTCGGGTTTCTTTGACATATCAAAGACGTTTGGCAGTGTATTGCACACAGCTAATTGGCTTCCATGCGAAATAAAAGCTGTCAGCAACACTGAGATTGCCATGGAGAAAGTTCATCTACCTGTGCAATAGTGACTGTTCACATTTCTTCCCAGCAGAGACGCTTTGCAATGACTTACCTGCCCTCATTTTCTTTCTCAAGTTCTAAGGCTGTTTTTGCGTATTAATCACAACTGCCTTCTGCTGTCAGGTAATGCCAGATCCATCCCCAAGAACAACATCTCAGCACAGTACGGTGGGGAGGGTGTGAGATGTTAAACAGGGAAATCAATCCAAAGCCCACTAACGACCTCTCACCACGACACAGCCTTACCTGCAGGCGTGCCATTGATGGGACTGTGTGCTCAGAGTTACCCACGTTGCTCTGGTTTGGTGGGATCAGGCTGTTGCTGCATGTCTGTAAAATAAAATGTGGGAGGAAAATGAATGAACGCTTGCTGGGTCAGAAAACAGCTGGAGTGGAGGTGTCTGCAGGGGTCAGCAATGGGGTGTGATGGCCTCCATTCCAAATATCATGACAGCCAGCCACCACTGCTCTCAAGATAGCCCTCAGGTATTGGAGATGAAAGAGGGTAAGAAAAAATTATTCTGGCTCTTGGTCTGATAGGACTGAGAATTTTAGTGCTCCTGCAGGGGGGAAAAAGTTATTCCAGTGATCTAAATAAAGCAAAATTACATTTTCAAATTATTTTTCTTTCTTCAAACACAAATGAACATTTTAAACATTTCTGAGGAACAGCTTAGATTTTTTTTTCTGATTTTTATATCACACTTCAACAGTATGGACAGCCCTGTGCTCCTGCTGTTGGCAGATGGGTGCCATGTACTGCAGATATTTCTGTGCACTTAGTAGGTACAGAAGACTAGAAGATACTGATACAGAAACTAATTAGACTGCTTTAATTGGAGTGGTGCAGAACTGTACTCTCTAACTCTGCTTGTTTGGTATATGGAACTGGCAGGAATTTTCACTCGACTGCACAGAGTTTCACTTCTAATTTCCAACACTCTACTTTCAGCTGTTAAGAAAACAGGAGAAATACAGGGAGCATTTCAGTGTCTAATTAGCTTTAATCTTACCATTTAACAAGGACTTTCAGATCTATAAGCAATTACACAATCCATGAATGTGTTTAACTCCACTACTCTGTTCATCAGAGCATGCAGAGTTGGCAAATCAGTAATTGCAGCTATTTGCACACCAACGCATGGGTTTTTTTTTAATCACTTATTATATTAGTGTTTGTTTTGCTTACAGATGCGACAGAACCAGGAATGCAGTCTGCATTCTTTGTGGTATAATACTGTAAACCCATATATAAGCTCAGTTACTAATGGCCAACATTCTAGTATGTACAGTTACAAAAAATTGCTGTCAGGTGAAGAAAACAACATTCCAGATCTGTGGGAAGGATTTCATACTGCTCCTTGCTGCAAACCTATCAAAACCACCAGGCTGAACCCAGTTGCGTTCTTTTGCAGTCGGCTGTTTTGCTCTAACTTCACAAATATGTTGAAGGATTTTTCTGAGAGCTCTTCTCATGCAGACTGAAGGAGATTGCATGCTCTTATCGAAGACTTCCTTGTGTGTAAAATCCATGCTCTCCCTGCTTTGTGTCATTAACTGTGACTCTGAAAAAGTAAACTCCTTTCTCTTTAATAAGTGTGACTTTGTTTCAAAGACAATGCACCATTTATTCCCATTTAACCAGCCAATTTGGCCAGAGCTTTGGGATCCAAGAAAATATGAAAGGCAATTGGGGCCAGAGTCATAAATACCACAAGTTCAACACCATTTAGGGACCTTTTTTTTTTCCTTCTCCTTGCATTTTACTTGCAGTGCAGGAGAAATTAGCTTTTACTTATTCAAATAAAACTCACATAGGGAATTTGTTAATTGCTTTCTGCTGAAATGCAAATATCCTAAAGAAAATAGAAGGTGACTTTTACCTAGTTCTGCCCTTTAAATCTGAAACATGATTAAATTTCTTCTTAAGACTGAATTCCCTAGGCTTTGCTTGTAATGCTGGGCCAAAAGGAACATACATGTAATGAAATAAATCTCTAATAATGCACACAAAGAGGTGGTTGCTGGAAGGGCAGGGAATGAAATCACATGAAGGTAGCCAGATCTGCTTAGAGTTTTCCCTGTTGTTGTTGCCCGTGTGTATACTTTTAGGCCAGAAGGACTGATTGTGAGCTCTTGCTAATGCTGCACTGAAATAAGTGCTTAGCATCCAATAGTATCACTCCTCAAGGATATGAGGGGAGATCAGGACCACTTCTGCAGAACCATCCATCATGACTTCTTGAAGCAGCATACTTCTTGTCCTCTCCCACTGCTGTTGCCTCTGCAACAAGTTCAGTTGTATTTGAAAAACTAAACATTTATGAATTCAACGTGCCTCACTGAGCACTGACTTCAGTGGGACTATCCCAATGGATGGGCTGTCAGATGAGTGCCCCCACGTAGGGAATTCCTATTTACATTGTTGACAGCAGTGCAGTATTGGGATCAGTCTTATGGGAGGAGATTCTAGCTTCATCTTTAGCACTGTGGAGGAGTGTTCTTTGCCCTTTAGTATAGACTTGATGGGTATAGTTCCATCAATGGAGTCCAGGTTAGCTTGCGTGCTTTCTTCCTGATCTGCCACACATTGAAGGACTCTTGGGGCCAAGAGCATTTTGTTCTACACTGAAAGAGCTTCAGGAAAGGGGGCTGTCTTCTGGGAACTGGGTGGGGAAAGTAGCCATCAAAATGTTTCCATGCAGTACGTGACTTGCAGACCTGCCGACACCTCCAGTGAAAGCACATGTGAGAAACACCCCAACCTGAGCCAGCTCGCAGCCTGCAAGCAAAGCAGGTGACGTCTTTCCAAGTCTACATGGGTTCCAGCAACTGAAGAAAGCTCCAGGCTTTTATGGAGAGGCAAGGCACCCATCTGGCACAGCAGCATTTGCTGCCAGGCATCCTGGCCCACTTCTGAACTACTGCCACAGGGTGGGATCCTGCACAAATTCCCCTTGCAGATGTTGGCAGTGGTTTCACTTCTTGCCTGCTGGTCACCATGTCTGCAGCCTGGAAGAATGTAACCACAGCTGGCTTTTCTCTGCACCTTGGCCCATCTGGTTCTGAATGTGCTCCCACTTCCCCTCCTTCTCGGTTCAACACCAGCAGCGAAGGAGAGGGAAGAGAGGAATGGCAGTGGGCCTCACCTAATCTGCAGGCTGTGACAGACGTTCCTTCTAGGGAGGTCAAGGTCTGGTTCCTCTAAGACCCACCTGATCCTGGCTCCAGTCTGTTCTGACAGAGCTGCTGCTGTGCAGTAGTTAATGGCTCAGTCCTCCCAGATGGAGGTAGGAGTGTCAGCAGGGTGCAGCATGCATTGCTAGCACCAAGCAGAAGGCTTTCTCCAGGGACTGGTGTGCAAATATGTGTAACTGCACTGAAACTGCACTGTTGGCACAGTGCCTTCTGCTGCAAAGTGACTCTGAATGCTGTGGAAATGAGGTGGGACTCGGCAAATATTTCAGCAGACATCAGTTCTTTATCAGTGGAATTAGCAGAGAAAAGGTTGTGTAGCACACACAAGTTAGTGTGCTCACTTCTGTGACAGTCACGGGGATGGGCAGGCATGTGGTCTTGATTCAGGCAGTTTGTGATTAAAGCAAGCAGGGAAAAAGTCATAGGAGTCTCCTCATTACCTCAAAAAAATGTGGCTATATCTAGGGTGGTGTCTTCTAGCTGCTTAATTTCTGTTGCATTTGTATGTAACACTTGGCAATAGGCAAAGTAGTACATTTCCCACTTGAAATAGAAGAGGAAACAGGCAGGAAGGATTAATTCTTTTAAGTAATAAAGCCCTGCTTTAGACCTGAGGTTTGCATTTACTGTTATCACTTCCAAATAAAATCTCATCCGGCTCTAGTATAAATTACTTGTAATATGCAATACATGCAGATACTGGGAAAATAAATGGTCTGTTAAACAAATACTGCTTATCAGCTAGAGTGGAGAATGTAGATGTGTGTCAAATAATTCAGCTAGATCTTTCATTACAGCTGTAAATAACAGCTGAGTAAAGTGACATTTTCATGGACCTGACATGTTGCCATAGTGGGAAAACATGGTGAGAGATTTGCTTATGCCCTAGCTAAGTTAGGAGCTGGGAATTTGGAAAGCTGTATCCTGTTTATAGCCTTGGTGCTTGGAAAACTGTTTCCCCTTACAGTCCGTAGGGAGCTAATGCCAAATCCTAGTGCCTTCCACATAATGACCATAGCTAAAGAAGTCAGTCTGTTCTGATCTGTCTTGCTTTCTGGGGAAAAGATTTTTTGGAGAGTTTATATTTTTCAAGTCACATTAATTTCCTTCCTTCCTTGTTGCTTTGCTGCCTGAAGTCTGGAAGCTATGGGGAACGGTCAGGGCCAATTTCATGGCACTTTATTTACCGTAACTCTGCTTCTATTCCTTTAAAACACCCAAGTGAAAAGCACCTTAAACAGAATCCACTAACTCAAATTAATTATTAGGTGTAAAATAAGATTATTCTGCCCACTGTATTCTTTTTGCTGTTGTTTAGGGACTCTGAGGTCTAAATGCCCCAGAATCCAGGCACTGATATGTCACTTCCGGCAGGTATGAAGCAGTGACATGGAACTGAAGGACATGCATCAGTTCTAAAGCAAGAAGTCCCCCACAATACTTATATTATATAAAAGAAGCACACTTAATCAGTAGCAGATCGAATTCCCTTCAGTAAATTATTTTTGGGGGTGTATTTATTTATGTACTGCTTGAATAAAGAGTGTAGCTGCCCAGGCCTTTACATGCCTGAAAGGCATCAGAGGTAAGGCAGAGGGAAAAATGCAGCCAAACAAGAAATTGCTTGAGCATTTTAATACTACTTTAACTCTTTGCTGTTTAAGACAGATTAATTAGGTCCTATCTGTAGTTCCAGCTAAGCAACGCTAGGCTTTCTTTGGATGGACAGACCCTGACTTGTGGATTACTTGTGGGCAGCCTACTCTAAAGACATGGGTTTCTCCTCTCCATCATCAACAAACTCTGCTCAATTCAGCCCATCTGTGGTGCGGGGCTGGAAAGAAACTCACCTTATTTCTGAAGTGTCTTGAGATTGCTGAGTGATTGATAGAAATGAACCAAAGGCCATCATTTTCTCTAGGGAGGTCAGAAGTCCAGTGTTTCTGTTCTTTCAATAATTCCTGTGCAGAAGGAGAAATAATTTAGTACTTTTTTTTTTTTTTTTTTTTGGACAAGCAGAACGCTTTTGCTTTGCTTCTACCTTAAAATAGATTGGAAGGAGAGGGTGTCAAACTGATGCCAAAAAGCCAGCTTTTGGCACGTGTCAAACATATAACATTTCAGCCCCAAAGACAAATCTTTTGGAAAGCTTGGGTGCCCTGTTACTTGCTTTCAAACTCCATGTGAGGTTCAGGAGCAGGTATTTCAGAACATCACCAGAGGCTGAACAAGAAGTCACCTGAAGCTCCTTTCAGTTGCTGCCCTATAAAATCTGTGCTTACTGTTTAGTGACCCTTCCACTCTGTACAAGCGATGCAGTTGCTTGGTGAGCAGACTGCTGGCTCTTACAGATGATCTCTATTTTTAGAGCATGTTTTTTAAATTATTTGTCTTCCATGTGCAGAATTCTGGGTGACTTTCAAGGTTTCCCACCTGCAGCAGCTTGTGGCACTGTTTGTGATAGATCAGTGAGAATTTGTAATGGTCTCCTGTGGGTGGTAGAAATCTCCGGTCTGCAGTTGTCCCAGATTTCTGAACTAATCAAGCAGATCTGAAGTTAATGCTAGTTGAATGAAATGCATTATTCCCTTTTTTAGCCTTCCCTGCCTAGGTCTAGGTGAGCTAACCTACAGTGCAAATAGTCTCATCACTGCTCCATTCAGAGCTGACTTGGAGAGAAGTTAATCCAACTGTCACCAAATTCAGTGGCAACTTTTGGACTCTGGTTTCAGTCATGCATGACCCATCTCCTCTGTGCAGATGGGTATTGTTTCTGCAGCATGTTCTTGTTTCCTGTTCCCTGCTGCGGGACTTGGGATTTCAACAGACAGCATTAGCCTCTGTGCCCTCTGACTGAGCAGCAATACGCTGGGGGCCACATGTCCCAGGAATATTCCCACTAAACCACAGGAAGGACATTGCCTCCTGCATCCTTGTCTCCAGGGACACTCAGAGCATGTTTAGTGTCAGTATATGTTAGCAAGAGGTGTGAAGGTTTGTTTCCCTGGGAGCACTGAAATTGCTTCTTTCAAGTTATTTCTTTAATACAGCACTTTGCAGAACTCTTTAATACCAGGATTTCTCTTGTGCTAAGTAGCAAAAAAGCTCCTTTTCTTTTTTTTCCCCACACCCATTCAGTCATTGTCCTTTTTTGACAGTGGAATAGAAACAGTTGTAAGGAAGGGTTAGCCATTTAATGTTGCAGTTTAACACTGTAGTAGAGTGCAGGGAAGTTTCAGTATGGAAAGAGTAAATAGCTTTGTGGCTTTGGGACACAGAATTGAAGAGCTTGGAGAAAATTCAGATGAAGCAATGACATTTTTTGCTTTAGCCTCAGGCAGAAAACCCAAGCCACCAGAGAAAACCAGACCTCAGACAGTGTGAGCTGATGCTATTGAACAGGCTCAGGGGAGTTTTGCCAGTTGACACCAGCTGAGGGATGAGCTGGGGAACACTGCAGGGATCTGCATGGGGTACAGGACAGGGCACAAGTTGGAGAACCTTCCCAGCACTGGAAGCAGGGACTGGGCCACAGCTTCAGTGTTGCTGTACCTGCCATCCAGAAGGTGCTGGAGAGGGCAGAGGGAAGTGACATGGGAAGAGCAAGCCAATTTCTCTGTATCCTCAGCTACCTTCATTGGTACCATGAGTCCCGAGATCATCTGACTGACCAAGAGACTGATGAAAAATGACTGATTCCAGCACACGTGGCTTATACATGGTGAAAAGTGGAAAAACTGTGAGCTTTTAAGTCATCTAGAAACCTTTCAGCCCTGGCCAGTGGCTGACAGTCGTGTCCTTTAAAGAGACCCTGTGTCCCTGTGTGGCATGAAGTGCTGTTGTCAGAGAAGTGGCAGGGACCAAAACCCACAATGACTTTTTTCCAAGATTAGGCTTAATTAGCTTCGGGGCTGGGTCTAGACACAGGATCTCTATATGTGAGAACTGGTGTCTGAGTGGGTGCTCCACTACTGAGAAGTAGGATTATGCAGGGGAGCCTAGCCTGGACTATGACAGTTTGTTAGAGTAACTAACTTCAGGATGAAATTAGTCTTAACAATCCATGATTTGAAGAAGCTCTATTTATTACAAAGTCCTAGCTTGAAGTTTGTTTCCTGCATCACAGAGGCCACAGGATGCCTCAGCATCTCACCCCATGCTCACTTGTATATGGTTAACTAGAACAACCTGCAGAGCAAGCCAGCTGCTCTTGGCATGGAGAGTTCAGCAGCTGCTAGACTACAAAGGGGTTACATTATTTGCAGCACATACGTATTTATGTGCATGTATAAGAATATATATACACACACTACTCAAGTAATGCCACATCCTTTAAGTTGGAAGAAGGAAAGGAAGGGTTATTATTCAAAGACCAGATACTACAGCATAAAGTGCCAGAGATCTGGGCAGTCCCATACCTGGGGTGGTGAGCTGGGCAGAGCGAAGTGGGGACTCGGGGAGTGGTGGGACGTGGAGGGCAGCCTGCTGCATCACATCAATCCTGAGAGATGGAAGGAAGCTGTAAATAGAGGCAGCACAGGTGGCATGTCAGAATCAAGATATCTTAAATGCAAGGCCTGTACAAGACTTGTCAATGCAGGACTCGCCTATGCCAACCATCTTTAAGTTGGGTTTTTTTTCCAACTTGAAAGTGGTCCTCCCCTATGAGCTTTTGTGTGGAGTGCCTTCCTACAAAGCTAGAAAAAGGGATTATGAGGGGAAACTCAATGATGCTGAGCACCAGCAAGGTGAGCTTAGCTTGTGTGCAGTGAAATTGGTTCTGATGCTGTTGCAGACACCTGTTCTCATTGCTAAAGAGCTGTCACCTGCACTATCTCCCATGGGATTCTGAAAAGACCAAGTTCAGCAAGGCTGTAAGAATTGCTGTCTCTGTGAATGCTGTTGATGTCTGTTCAGCTCCCAGCCACAGCATGTTATGAACTGTGCCAGCCTCATCTCTTGTGTCGCATCACTCACAGCACTGTTCCTCCCTGCAGATGCCTTACCTACTCCTGAACCCGTCCATGTCGGAGATAAGACCTCGAATGTACCCCGTGTTTTTTGGAGAAAGCATTGAGGTCAACCCTGAGCCCGTGCAGGAAATTAGGTACAGATGGTATCGGGTTGGGTGACTGGGGATGTCTGTCCTTTTCTTGGTGCTTTTTCTTCTCCAAAAATTTAAATGTGATTACAAATGGGAGTCATGGTTATTTGGTTAGGAAAGGAGAGAGAGACAGGTAGGACAATAATGCCTGAATTAAAAAGACACTGACAGCAAAAGAGGTGGAGGAGGAGGTTGTAAGAGAAGACTTTCCTTCCAAGGCCAGCTCATTTCCAAGGGATTGAGAGACATTTATGACCTTCTTTAGGTTTGCTGATCTACGCTGTGCCCTGCTGACTTGTATCCTCAGCTACTCCATTATAATGGGTACCTGTTTTCATTAGCCCTTGCAGCAGAGAAACCAACACTAGATGAGTTCACAATACAGAATCATTTCCTCCTCATGACAAGGTGGTCCTTCCAGCCAGTGATTGAGGTATTCTGGCCTCCTGTGGAACTGGAGGCAATGGCCTGTGGATAAACATTGTTCTGCTCTTCTTTTGCTGGTGTGGAATGTGCTCTGCAAACAGCGTGGAGCACAGTTACACACAGCTTAGGGCAGGGATGGTGGGAGGATTAAACCCAATTCCCACCCCCCCTCAACCTATGCAAACATCTCTCTGGAAACATACCCCAGTAAATCTCTGCTTGCTGAGGAACTGCTGGCGGGCATGTTTTTATGGTGATTACATCGAAGTCTTGTTTTATGTGCGCTGAATGACTTGCTTACACCCTAGCTGTGCAAAATACATTACAGCAGCTCAGATTACACACAGTGCACAATCAGTCAACCCCCCTCCGGGTAGAGGTAATGACAAGCGCACACCCAGCTTTTAATCTTTTTCTTTTTTTTTTTTAACATGGAGCCGCACATTCCTTGGCTGCTGAATGCCAGAGGAGCATTTGGGGAGTGGGGAAAACAACTCAAACTCCTACAGCTCGCAGTGGCCAAGGATTCTAGGGAAAGCACTCTGCATGGCCTGGTTTCCATCCATCCCTTCTGGAGATGCAGCACAGTGACATTCTGTTAACATGACCACTTCCTTTGTGCCCAGCCATAGTCCATAGCATCCCTTTGCTTTATCAGCTTGGCCCTGCTTGTATTTTTCTGTAGGCCTCAATGAGCAGCTTCACTCATCTCCCAGCATAAAGCTTATTTTGGCTACCTTTGTGTTCTGATGGCTCAGTATAAATGAAAAAGAGGAAGACAGAGGAAGAAGCAGGTTGCTTGGAGCCAGTGCAGGAAGGTCCTTTCTGTCCTGGCACAAACAGGCTGGCTAAATTGACTGCAGAAATGCTGAGGTGGCTTCACAAGGTGGGATTCCGCCAAGATGCACCCAGCAGGAAGGAGTCCTCTTGGCCCTCTGCTTTGGGTTGTAGGGTTTACATCTGTTCTAATGTCTGTGCAGTAAGAGAGCACAGATGTTCCCAGCTCCAAGGAGTTGAGAAGAGTTCTGTTTATCTTCTTTCCTTTGCTGCCTGGGCTGTTTTTGATACCTTGTTGTCCTCTATAGGTGTAATTCTGAGGTGAAGTACGACTCTGAGAAGCATTACAGGGATGACATCATCTACGGCCCCATCCCCACCGTCACCACCTACAGTGAGACAGTCATTGCTGCGCCCAACTGCACCTGGCGGAACTACAAGTCCCAGCTGATCTTCGAGCCCCGCCAGAAGCCACTGAGGTTTCAGAGCACGACCATCATTTTTCCTAAGCGTGCCAAGAACATTTACCGGACCACCCTCAACTACAGCTTGGGCTGTGCCAAGCGCTGGTTTTCTTCCAGCGTGCAGCTGGAACTCTGCGAGGAAACCAGCCCATGCGTCATCTACAGTGAGACCCTCTGATCCGCCCCGCCACGGGCAACCTTGTGACCTCAAGGAGGCTGTGGCCTTTACTGGGCCTCTGGCTGGGCCCTCACTGATGACGACTGAATATTAATGGCTGGAGGAAATGTCATCTTGGGTGAGGCTGAACTGGCTGGGAGGAGGCTTGCAGGGTATGGGATGGTTTTGATCAGTGAAAGGCTGGCTTAAATTTTTCGACGTTCCTGACATTCGTGATCTGGATTTTATTTTGTTCTTTTTTTTTTTTTTCCAAGCATATCTACTTTTGACTTATGTTTTAGATGAAATCAAGATGACAGAGAACCCCATTATCCATTGCAGAGTGCTGTTTTGTGAGCTCTGTACATCTTGTCTAGCACATAGGTGAGACTAACTGTAGCCTTCAGAAATATTTTGGTCTCTGCAAAGAGAAGACCACCTGCAAAGTGGTGAAGACCAGCCTGCCCAGCACACACCAAGCCAAGTCTCCTGGAGTTCAAATGCAGATTATGTTAATTGTGTCAATACTTCACGACCTGCATCCAACAACTCACCTGGGAGATAGCTGCAATATTATACCACTGCAGTACCATCAGGCCTAACTTGCTTGAGGCAGTGGGGACTGTCGCTGAGAAAAAGGAGGAAAGCAGGTGCACAGTGCTCTTGCCAGCAGCTAGATGCTTATGTACTATGACAGGGGATGCCACAAGCAGGTAGTTGGAGAAAGGCCTGCCCTGACCCACAGCCAGCTCTTATGAGAGCCCAGCCTAAGCAAGAGAATGCAGAGGAGACTGAGGAGAGGAAAAAGCTGTGGTGCTATTTTCTAAAAGTATCCAAAGAGTTTAGGAGCCCAGCGCCCTTTTTATGAAATAACTGGTAGCTGAAGTGTGCCATGCTGTTTGTTGTATCTGATATCCAATTTGCAGGGATCTTTACGTATTTAACAACCCTTTTGAGTTTCAGGGTACTGCAGAGAGGAATGTAGCACAGCAAGATGTTACCTGGCTTTAAAGAAGCTGGTACAGGGTTAACTGCAGAGCAAGGTTGCTGCTCATCCTCTCAGGAGTTTCCATACCTGTCATAGACAGCTTGGCTGATTGTGGAGGAGCATCCAGACTGTCTTAAGTATAGCCAGTAGTATTGAAGAGCCAAAATCTGTGCAGGATTTTCTTAATCAGCCAGGTTACAGCAGTTCACAGGTACTTTATGGCTAGCTGAGCTGTCTCTGCAACAGGACCAAGAAGCATAGGGACAACAGTAGTCACTTCAACCATCCTAAGGTAAACCATTCCCGCTGATGAATCACATCTCCCAGTATTTTTTTATCTTGGTAGCTTACTGAAAAAAGCAAGAGCCTACTAGTAACCTTTGGAAATGATACAGAATTGTCTCCAGAAATCTTACCAAGAATTTTTGCATGCTGCTCAGAAGAGACCAGACTTAGAAAATAACCATATAGTTCTGGAAATTAATTTCCAGCTTTCGTTCTTCTAAACTTTCCATGTTGTTTCTGACTTGATGCAAGTCTGATCAAGTTATTTCAGAACACAGCCAAGCAGCCAAGTCAGAAAACCTATTAACAATGTCAACAAGACATAGCTGATTGCCCAGAACTGTTGACGCACAAACCCACAGTGATTTATATATAAAAAACAAAAAAAAACAAAAAAAACCAACAGCACCACACAGTCTGGCAAACTTTAAGAAGAATTAAATAGTAACCTGCAAAGATACTTTTTCCATCAGTTTCAAAAGGCAACTGGTAGGTGTAACCAGAACTGTGACCTTTATGAAACAGAGCTTTCTTGTTTAAAATGAAGCTGAATTTATATCTACCAGAGGTAAATAAAAGATTTTTATACACAAACTTAAATCCTGACAACATCATTAGTACTGAAAGATGTAAGCTGTGGCAGTGGTGAACTCTGACTCTATCATGTGGGAGATGGGCCTTGGTAGAGAGCGACGTCTCACTGGATTTCCAAGACCCAGCTTCTTGGTTCATGGATAGAGACCTGCCCAGCCATGTGGGCCTTCCCAAGCAGATGAGTCTATCACAGACTCCCTGTTTTTCCAGGAATCCTGCCACGTATTTATTTTGCATGACAGACCTGGCTTCAACCTTTCAGCAAGTTCTCTCCATCATGTGCATGACAGAACCAGTGTACCAGGTTAATCTCATGAGCTTTTTTATCTTGGCTAACTGCAGGCTTCTGAGTGCTTTGTCTGCTGTTCTGCTTTCTCAACGTTGGCTACAACTGAAAAACAACTCAAAAAACAAGTGTGCAAATAGACCTAAACCACAGCTTGGTCTTGGATCACATAGGGACAGGGGTCACTAAGGCAAAGTCTCACAGGTGCAGGGTCCCCACCCTCTCTGACCAGACTGTTTTGAATCTTTATGCTTTGTTTTCTCTGCAAATAGACTAGAAATGACCTAACGTACTCCCGCTCCTTCGAGCATAGGCAGCTTTTTTCATCTTGCCACGTCAGGAAAAAAAGCCAGCAGGCAGCTTGGCTTCCTAGGCTGCCAACACACAGAGCTGTATAACCACGGACAGACCGTGGTGGGCTACCAACCTGGGCCACATCCAAAACTGTGACATTGCCAAGTAAGTGCCTGAGAGCTGTAGAAACTTTTGAAAAATATCATCTTAGATGGTGACTCCATTGGCTGCTTTTCTTGTCAGTAAAAGCTGGCATTAGAAGGAGACTTTGTTCCTCCTGTGCAAAACCATAGCAGGTCAGCCCTCACCCTGGCATGGGCACGGACCCCATCTCCCTGCCCACTCTCTGTCCCTCTTACTGCCAGCCCCATGGCTGGGTGAGGCATTGGGAAGAGTCCAAAGTCGCCTTGCTTGCAATTTGAAAAAGTTTTTTTTTTGTTGTATTTTTGCTCCAAGAGCAAAATTTGAATTTTGTGTGCGTGTTGCCAATTAAGAATTGCTCCCAGGAGCCAAGAAGTGCCTTACTTGTAGTATGTTTTGTACATCTAAAAGGAACAATTAGTTCCACTAGAAAGATGTTTTTCTTTGAAATGGAACATTATTTATCTCAACCAACTGATCTTTGTTCATCAATTTTCTCAAAGATACAAATGATAAACCCAGACCATAGAAAATGCTGCTTGGAAAGGGGAGTTCCCTTGAGCAGCTGAGACTGTGACTATGTGATTTCTCCCAAGGATCCTAATATGCTGGTTGCCCACAGTCCTGCACACCTGATGGGTTAAGTCAGACTGCCTGTAGGAATTACTTTCCTTCAGTAGTTATTTTGGGATTAGAAGCTTTCACTAAAGGCTTCTGGTTTTATGTTGTCTTTTTCTGTAAGCTGTTCGTTGTTTTTTTAGGGGGGAGGGGTGCACAAAGGTGAGGGGGTTGCCTTCATCCCTCCTTTCCTGTGATTGTTTTACTCCCAAAATGCAACAGAGAATGCACGTGTCTGGTGTGCCTGCATTGCTGTAATTGCATTAAGGGCCAAAGAGGGGAACCCTAGCTTATTAATGCCTTTTCAGAATTTACAAAATACTTTGTACAAAATGCAGAGGAAAACTTCGACCAAAAGGATTTATTGCTTCTTTCTTTCCTTTTTTTTTTTTTTTTGGTTTTTGTTTTGTTTAACCCTAAGCCAGCTCTACTTTTCTCAATGTGAAATAGAGACAGATTTGCACCCTAGGTGCAGACTTTTTGAGAATGATGAAATGTGGTCTGAGTGTTGATAGCAGTGTTTGAGTGAACTGCTGGTCAGAGAAGTGAGTGCTATTTACTATTTATGTTGAGTGAGTCATACCAAAAAAAAAGGAATGGTTAAAGGGTTGATGAAGAAAGACTTTGCAGAGCAAACTAAGGACTGAAGGCAGCGTGAGTCTGACATAGAGGTGAATGGTTCAGTGTGTGAGCACTGTGAGCTAGGATATTTAGCCATTGAGGTTTTAATGTGCCTTTTTTTCCTGCACAGAAAGGCATCTTCGCCTTCTTTAGAGCTGAAACAAAGTCAAATCCCTTCTCTACTGCAGTCGTTCAGTTCCACTGAAGTCTGTAGATCTCAGAGTTCCCCAGGCTTGTAGGGTCCTCTGCGTACTACACAGAGCTACACCTCTGTGAAGACAGGGGAACACTCCATAGGAAATGATGGATCTTGGTGCGGGAGATTCATGTTTCCACTGGCAGATAAACCGCTCTCTAAGGATTACCCCTTTTCTCACAAATCACTCAGTTCTGAACATCTCCCCTGCAGCTTATCAATAAGTCTTGTATTTGATGTCTTGGGAGGCACGCGTCCCTTTTCAGATACTGTGATGGCCATCAAAATGAGCAAAGTATCCTGCCATGTGAATCGTGTCCTGGACAGGAGGTTGAAAGATGCTTGAAGGTTAGAGAAGGGAGAACGTATTACTGGTGGAAATGCATAAGGATGTGTCATATTTTTATTTTTGTAATTCTGATTCTCGCAGTGCTTGTAAAGTACTTTACTGTTGTATATGTGGTGATGCAGTAGTTTTCAATATCCTTTTATTTTTGTATATTTTCCCCTTCCATAATAATCCCTACCTGTTCAATTCATAGAAAGTAATTTAAGACAACAAAATTTATATCTCATAATAAAATCTCCAAACTGTCAGGCTTGTGTCTCAGTTTCTTTCCCTTTACTTATCCACTGCCTTTGTGCCTCACGTTCCTTTCCCATCCAGAGAGAATGTTCTGGTGTCTCAACCCATTGCCAGTGGGATTTGGCCCAGCTGTCAGCTCTTAGGGCAGTGCCCTGATTAGTAAAATCTATTGTCAGGTGGGCTCAGTGAAATTTAAATGACTCAAGCAGAGGGCACTGAACTCCTGCTTTGTGCAGAGGCACTTTTGCCATTCTGGATTTGAGTGATTTTACCATTTCCTCACTCTACATTTCTTCCTCCCTGCTCAATTTTTTTTCTACCCAGCTGGTGTTCAGGCTAGATAATTCCTTCCCCCGCTTTTCCATGCCTTAAAGGGCAGGCAGAACCAACATAATGCTGATTTAACGTCCAGGTATCCACATCCTAGCAGGCTGTCAGGACCCCTGCTACTTCCTGGCTTTCCAAATCACGGAGGCAGATGGGTTGCATCAGGGCTAAAACCCTGCCTAGCTATGAAGTACATTCATTTTAAAGCCATTGCTGTAAATGCCTCAGGCTCACCAGCCAGCTATTAGTAGAGCTCTCAGCTGTATTCCAAGACCTAAGATGTCTGCAGGGAGAATCTGACACTAATCCTTATGGAAAAAGCATATTGGATTTATAGGGATGAAGTCAATAGGCTTGGATGAAAACAGCTGTTAAACACTAAGGAATGGAAAGGAGAAGGAAAGCCATGTTATGCAAGAGGCTTGCTTCAGGTGCATGGGAAATGCTTTTGTCCTCATCCTAAGTTTTTTGATAAAAATTATGGCTCAACTACTCCTAGGTGTAGGATGGGAGACATGCACTCAAGCTCCTTAGGAATGTCAACAACATGGAGAAGGCAGGGGATGTATGGCCTGGGTGAGTCTGATGGTCGAAACCCAAGTGCTAGATGAAGGACATATGCATCCACTCCTGTTATTTAAATAAAACCGTAAAACGTGAACGCTGTCCAGTGAAGATTCCTGAGGTGGCAGCTAAATCCTCAGAAGCAAAAGCAGCATTAGATGCAGGATATGTGTTTTGGCAAGCACGCCCAGATGAGCTAACTCCTAAGCTAGCGGCTTTTACTGTGCCATTTGGATGCTGTAAATTTAAGCAGATGAAGCTTGGTATTAGTTTTGCTCCTGGGATATTTCAGAGTGCAATTGCACACATCTCTGAGGGATTACAAGCTGCTGAAGTTATAATGGATGGACTTTGAATTTGGACTAGACACCTTTATGAACAGAAGGAAAGGTTTAGGATGGTTTTACAGACGGCACAAATGCTGCATGTGAAATGCCAAAAGCCTCACCTAAAGAAGTTACTGATAATGGGCAAATACAAATTAAATGAGAACAGTAAAACCCCCATATTGGGAATCCCAATTCTGCTCAACAGAGCAGAGCAAAATAGATGCCTGTATCAAATTCAATTCCACAGCTACGTACAGTCAGCAAACAATGGAGTGATTTGCCAGAAAGCTAAAAGCCTTACCTGATCCTGGAGTAGTAAAAGGCTCCTCCCCACTGCCAATCCACCAGCTCTCCAGTGCTGTGTGTGTGACCATCTCAGCTGGGCAGATGGCAATGTCACAGCCTGGCCCCGAGATACTCCAGCCACAGCTCTGTGACCTCCTTGTGTCCTGTGATGCTGACCTGCAGGGCCACAGTCTGGGGGAAGCTCTCAGCCCCTCTGGCTGATAAGTGCAGGCACCCAGCTGTGCTCCTGTTCCAACTGCCCTGCAGCCATTACACAGGAGAGGAGCAAGGACCCCAACTCTGCACAGCCCCTGCCAAGCACCACATCTCCTCCCCTTGCCAGTGCCCTCAGCCACAGGGGGAAGTCAATGCAGGAATAGTTTGTCCTCAAGTAGGTTTCCTCGAATTACTTCTTGGGGCATGAGAAAGGAGTTTTATGAACTCTATTTTCTGCTTCTAATAATGATGCTGGATCCAAACAGTTCCACCCTCAGACAGATGGAGAGTTCACATCCACAAGGATGAACACTCTTGTCCTGCCAAGCTTTTGGTGCTCACTGCATCCTTCCTACTCCGCAAACAGGCGGACAGCATATTTCTGGTGTAAAAATATTCTCCTCTCAGTTAACCACCTCCAGATTCCCTTCCCGAGCCCATTCTCAGCCCAGTGATCAGACATTTCTATATACAAAAACATTCAAATAGTCTCCCAGGGGCTCCTCTCTCACATCAGACCCTAAGCTCAGTGGCTGTTTGCAGCTCCTTGAAACATGAAGGAGACTGAGTGCAATGAACACAGCACAAGCATGCGTGCATACACACGAGTGCAAGCTGCTTTCCCTTTGATGGAGGATTGTAGAAACATTACCCTCCCCTGGGGCGCTCCAGCAAAATGACCCGATTATTCATAAACCACCTAGAATCATCAATCCCTCATTTATCATTTTCAACATAAATAATAAGGGCAAGAGGAGCACACCAGCAATAAACCAGTTCTAGATGTAGTGTTGAAATCTATCACTTCCTTCCAATACGCCCTGCTTACTGATAATAAACAGCGATCCAACCAATTCTTCATCCGAGGCCACGAGCGTTGGGTTACCAAGGACAAATGCCACCAGCCCCTTCGTGCTGTGCAAACCTGTTTGGTGCTTGTGTGGGAGGCCAGCTAGGAAAAGGCAGCACATTTCAGAAAACACATTTGTCTTACTGACAAATGCCTCAGGAAATAAAAGCCTTTGTATTCTTCCCCTTCCACTCACTTCTGACTTCTGGGATTTTTTTTTAGCACCTGCACTTCCAGGCATTGGCTATGGCTGCTCAATGAGCACTGCTCAGCTGCCTGCTGTGGGGCATCACAGGGACATCCCAGTGTCCAGCCACACTGTGCTATGGAGCTACTGACCTGTAACATGTGGGGCTGCACAAGGGATTAGCTTCAGGTCCAGCTTCCAGTGGGGCATTATGATTTTTGAGGTCCCTTCCAACACAAATCATTCTACGATTATGGGATGGCAGCAGTATCTTAGAGCACCCTTTGCCACATAGATTTATCAGCATAGTCGGAAGCAAAGGCTATAGCAGCAGGGCAGCATTCCAGGCTCGAGGCTCTTGGTTTAGCACAGAACTGCTCTGCCCTTGAACTTTGCAGCCCTGGCCCTTTGCAAGTCCCCCGGCCCTTATAAGCATCTGGCAGCACCAGCCCTCGGCACAAGCCCCAGCCATGGCTGGAGCACACTGTTAACAAGCCATGTGTTTCAGCAGCCTCCAGGCTTGGCACTGCATCCTGTGTGAACCCAGCTGAGTCTGCTCCACCAGTGCTGTACTGCAATGCTGCTTGCAGAGGATACCAGACAGCCCTGGGGAGTGGGTGGCTGGCAAAAGCCACACTTGCTGTTGGAAGATCTTTGATCACCGAAAGGAATGGGGCTGCTCACACCAACCCCATTTCTGGTGCCTGTGCCTCCTGTGCTGGCCCTATCTTACAGTGGCACTCTCAAAGTGGGGGTGCAGAAACCCCACTTCTTTCAAGCCTGTTTCCAACAAGGCTCTCCCAGCCAACATTAACACGTTGCTTTACTTCCCAGCATGGCCTGGGGCAAAAAGGAACATCTGGACCTAATAAAAAGACTGTTCACCTCCACAAAGGAGCAACCTCTGCTGCTTGGTTTCTCCTTCCCTAGTGGGTGCAGGAGGCAGCTCCAGTCTGACAGGCAGCAGGGTGCTCTGACAGCCTGTAAGGACTAAGTGTATCCTGATAGGTTTAAAATGGGATAAGTGCAGAGAAGTTAATGTGTTTCTCATCTAAGGAGCCAGCACCACTTGAAATGGCTGTGCCTTGTTATCTGGGTACAGAGACAAGGCATGAGAGTTTGTTGAACAGAATGGAGCTCTTCTTCTGTTCCAAAACCACAAAAGCTGGAGATGGCCCTCACCCAAGGCCCAGGATTAACACCCCACGGGGAAAAGACCTGATTGGGTCCAGCTGGTGCCAAGCTCCAGGCACCGTCCAGCCTCCTTGCTCTGACCTCTGGCAGACGCTCTGCCTTCTGTGCAGCTCAGGACAAAGCAGCAGCAAACACTGGCTGGATGTTGGGCAGAGCTGGGCCAAGTCTCATGCATCTATCCACTGCTTCCACAGAGCGGCACATGACAGCTGGAAATAAGTTATCATTAGCACAGCTGCAGTAAGTGCAGTCAGTGCTTCCTATTCCCCAGCATCTCCTTAGTAAATACCACAGGAGGGTTTGCTCTGAACTGAGCTTGTGTACAGTTCTCAGAGAGATGGCAAATGACTAATAAATACAAGAAGTTGGGAAGCATCAGCAGAAATATCTGGCCAGAGATCAATCTTCACTGATAGCTTCTACTTTCTCTAAGTGAAAGTGCCCTGCCAAGCTTAGCATGGTGCTGACATAAAAGCAGGGCGTTCTCCAGATGGAGCTCACCCCCATTCCAGCACCCTGCAACTCCACAGGTTGTGCACTTACAGCCAAGGACATCGCGGCATTCCTGACAAAGAGGAGCACTGCGTGGGAGTGACACCAACACCTCAATCGTAACTCATCATCAATTCATCATCAGGAGAAAGTCAACAAACTGCTGTGCCTCTTCACAGCCCTGTCCAGGACAAAGCCACTATGGATTATCCTTCTATCTTCTCTCCCCCCTCCACAATCCCTATCTGCCACCAAAGCAAAATCCAAGTCTGGATTTCTGACTTTTTTATTGCTGGTTTTCAAAGCCATTTGCTTTCATCCCATTTCATTTTCCTCTCTGTATGTGAGAGCTTTTTAAGTAGGTCTAAAGTTTTCCATCATTAAATCATAAGCTTTTGGCCTTGGAGATTTCTCACCTTCTGTTTTGTCGACATCAGTGTGAATTATCAATGAAAGCAACGGTTGTCAGACCTCATCACTGCCAAAATCCTGATGCAAGAAGCTGAGCAGCGCCACTTCAATTTGTGCTGTTTATCAACTTACTCCAATTGTCTGCAGAGCAACAAAGCCTGCCCCCAACCTCAATAAAACACCATTACTGGTCTCAGGGATCCAAAAGCACAAGAAGCCAGCAGATCTCTGCCATAAACATTGCTTGGTTGGCTGAAGGCACATGCATAGGGCTGGAGGAAATGGCTCAGGGTATGGTCTATGATTTTCAGATGACTGAGCACCCTTCCTTACCAAAGGAGCCTTTAGCACACCACACAGCCCCAGGCACACGCATAAAGCAATGAGGACTATGCACAGCCTCAGAGCACCCTCCACGGCCTGGAAAAGCCTAACAGTCCCTGTGGGTTTGTAACTCAATAGAAAGCACAGCAATAGTAGCAGAATAACAAAGGTCCTAGGCTGCAACAAATGATGACTTGCTCAAATGTAAGAGCCGTGGGCATAGAAACAAAGGAAAGAATCTACTTACCTTCAGAATACTTCAAGTATGCAGGGATCTCCAGCAAAGTACTTTTTCCTCCACTGCCAACCCTTAAATGAGGTCTGGGAAGGACTGGATCCTGGCTCCACCCCTCCTGGACAATCAGGCACATTGCCTGCACCTGAGCTCCCCTGGGTTGGCCCTGCCTTCCCACCAGCTGCTCCATCACTGCTTCAGGCTGTGACTTGGCATTTTCACTACAGAGTTTAAGCACCCAAAATGCTGTGCCTTATGCCTGTAAGCAGGGGTGTTTGCTGCTCCTTTCAGGAGAAAAATTGGATTATCATTATTTTTTATAATACAATTTGTGAGCCCCAGAAAAGGCCCCAGGTGCACAACCAAGTAATATTCCTCCAATGAGATAAATTCCATACAATCACACATGGACATACCACTCTGCCCTGCCATCGCAGCCCATTTGCTATGAAATAAAACCTCCTCCAGGTCCCTTTGCAGTACAGCCCAGGGCCTCTTTGCTCCTTTAGCCATTTCTGAGATATAAATGCAAACCTGTGAGCTTCAAACAGCTCCCACCAGCCCAAAATGCCAAACTACTCATGCCAAAAAACAAACCCATAGGTGAAGATGTGGGGGGGGTGAGGGGGCTGATGGTCGCACCCCAGTCAAAGTCAGCCAAAACCCACGGGGTTGATTTCGGGTAAAGCAATACAGACCAGCAAGCAGCTACCAGTGCTTCTGTTGCAGTTGTTAATTAGGTAGCAGCTAATTAGCTTCCCCAATAATTCCCTACAGGGCTTGTGAAGATTTATCCATCACCAGAACATCTATTTTCTTTCATTTTATATAAATTTTTTTCCAATCACAGTGGGACAATATTTTCCTTGGCTGCTATTCAAAGACCATCAAAGCCAAGGTGTCCATTTTGTGGCATTTATTTAAGCAGTCCCAGAGCCATCCACGGGATCCTGGCCCCCTCCCCACTCTCAAACAAAGCTCCAGGGGGCTGTTTTGGGCTGGTTTTCCATTTCCCCCACAAAAAACTAACAAAAACAGTCTGAGGCATACAAGGAGCGGGGAAGAAGCCTCTGTGTTTCTTGGGAGCTGCAGACAGTAGCTTATTAAAATAAAATGAAAGTAGAGCGAGAGGAAAACCCCTTCTTTTTAGAGCTGAGCAAGGTATTTCAGGCTGACTGATGGAGAGGCACATGTGTCCCAAGGGGGCAGACAGGACTGCTACCAGGCCTTGGTTGGGGATGCTGCACAGTCTCCAATATTTTTTTCCCTCCCTTTTCAGCCCATTTTTCTGTCAGCACCTCCAGCTGCACCCCATCACTGCACCCCCACCCACCCCACTGCCACCCACACTGTGCCACCAACTTGCTCTCCCTGGCTTTATGCATGCAAAAGAAGCAGGAGAGCTGTATTTTGCTGGCAAATAAGCTTTTTTTTTTTTTTTTTTTTTTTTTTTTTTTTTTTTTTTTTTTTTTTTTTTTTTTTTTTTTTTTTTTGGTTTGTTTGTTTGCTTTTTTATTATTTCAACAGTCAGGCAGTGTTCAGCCACTGCTGCCCACACCGCTTGCTGGTGGGCGTGCTGAGCAAAGTAACAGTGAACAAGCCCTTCACCTTCAGCAGCAGAACATCTCCCCTTCAGAGCAAGCTGGGTAAATATTTACACCTCATGGTTTCTATGTACAGCCCTGTCTATCATACAGCTCACTTCAAAACAGCTATGCACAGTTTGGTCGCACAAAAAATAGATATCCTTCCCCTCTTCCCTCCCCCCTCCCCCCCGGTACAGTTCAAATAATAAATTGCCCAATAATTTGTTTGTACAAATTACAAAGTGGGGTTAATGTTACCTTTAAACTTGGGTTGTTTGGGGTTTTTTTTGATGGTTTAACATGCCTTCCTCCTCCTTGACTGCTGGATGGGGATGCACGGTGGTTGGCAGCACGAGGACGCACCAGCAAGGACCTGCCATGGGATTTGGGGCTATGTGGGGTGCTGGGGGCTGCAGCCACAGTAGGTGGGTGATTTTTGGGAAAAAAGGGTGGCAGCAGAGGCTGTGACCAGCAGGGCAAGAAAGGGCAGCTGTGCTCACGGCCTGGAGGAGCAGCAGCTCCCCGCTTCCCAAAAACACAGCCTCACGGTCCCTCTGCATGGCCATGTGCCTCTTTCCCAGCATGTGGTAAACTCATTGATTTTACTCAAGTTAATTAATTTCCAGCTGGAGAGTGCTCCACCAAAAGCAGCTCAGAGCTGCTGCCGCCCTGTGTGTCCCCCTGTGCTGCCGGATAGGGCCTGTGGAGGGACAGCAGGGACAGAACAGGACAGAGCACCCAGAGAGCAGCAGGCAGGGAGGAGAGCTTCCCTGGGCAAAGCCAACCCCACACACACTGCCAAAGGCTGCTCTCCTGTCCCCTGCCTGGAGCTGGGGACACTTCCAGCCCAGTGAACCAACAGCCCCAAAATGGCGGACGTCACCTCACCAACACCTCACAGCCTTCCGCAGCACCGCAGCCCCTCACTGTGGGCTCAGGGAGCCCCGACAGCGCCTTTGCTTTGGGCACACAAAGGGAAAACGAGAAGAAAACAACCAGGCTGCGAGGCCTCCTCAGGGGAGGTGGTGTGATGTGAGGCAGTGTGCCTCATCCCAGGGGGCACGGGATGTCCCACAGAGCCTTGGTGGCAGCTACAGCCAGAGCCTGGGGGAAAAGGCAGGAGGGGATGTGACAGGATGCCCTGGCCGGGTGGCAGCACCACGACAGCAACCCAAAGGCTGCCCGCTGCCGCCCTCACAATCACTGAGGTGAGGAGCGCCTCAGCCCCAGGCTGCGTCCCTCAGTGCCAACACAGCCATGGCCAGCAGTGCCCAGGGCTGCCCACCATCCAGCAGCGCCACGAAACCTGCAGCGACCTGCGCCTCTCTCGGCCTCTCTTCAAGACACCGAAGCAGCACTACTGTGCCAAGTGGTAACTTTATTCTTTGTTGTGGTTTTTTTTTTTCTTTTTTCTTTTTTCTCTCTGAAAAGGTTAAAGAGGCGGTTTTGAAGATGGGTTGAATCTGGATTTTTCCCAGAAAAATCTGTGACACTTTAATAGCGTTATGCCCAGACATCAGCTCTGTCAGCTCTACGTCTCAGAGCCGGGGAGACACCAGCAGCAATAACCTGGGAATGGAAACACTTCCACATCGTTGTGCATTGTCTTGTTTTTCTTAAAAAAAAAAA